CCCTTCGATGCAAATCGAAGGGAAGGAAACCTAAGATCAACCTCAGAGTCGAGGCCGTTCTGGTGCGGCTGTATTTCCAAGACCTCAAGACCTGGTCGAGACCTGGTCGCATCACTCGGAGTCGGGTGGGTTTTCACTTTGCCCACTGAAGGAGGACCTGCCCACTGCGTCTTGGTGGTTCGTCCATGCCCGTTTGGGCTCCAGTCGTACCTTCTGAGAAGGTGGGACTGGGGTGGGTGCCAGGAGGGTCCAAACACCTTCTCAGAAAATACTTGGAGCCTAGGGATGGTGAACCAGTTTTTTTGCATTTCTTGTGTCTCTCCGCGATTGGTCTCAGAAGGCGGTTATACCACCAAATCCCCACGGTGACCTCACAGTCGCTGATGAGCTCACCCCTTGGTGTCTTCGACCGAGTACTCAGGAGACGGTCTTCAAACACCGCAATGAAGCGACGAAGAAGGAGCGATGAAGGGTAAACCCACCGATGAATATGACTTCCAGACCTCTTGATGAGACTCTTAATGAATCAACCCCCCACCCACATATGGAGCACTGAACGGTAGACAACATCAACGGAGTGTAAGACCCCAGAGGCCTGGAGGAGTTGAAAGATCAAGTCTACATCGACTGGTGTGGCCGTGTGGCCCGATCGCTCGTTGGAAGGAGATGTTAAGAGCCCACGGGGCCCATGTTCTCTCTCACTCCCGATACCGACCTGTCGCCAGTTTTTCAACGAACCGACGCTCCGTCTTCGCCTGTCTTCGCGTCAGCTTTCTCTTCGCCCTTCCTGGCGGGGCCATGAAAGTCTACTGCCAGGGGGGGCAAGGTACCAACGTCGAAGATCGCGATCTTCGCTGAAGCAGAAGTCGAAACCTGGTGCGCCATCCGTGCGAAAAGGCAGTGAGTTGATATATTTTGAACCCACGACCTCGGGAAGAATGGGAAGAATCATGCAGTGAGTTGGCCTTCGCACTCTTGCTCGATAGCGTCAAGAGCACGAATCACAAGCACCACTGGCAGGAGACTAATTCTAAAACTTCCAATGTGCAAGAACCAAGGCTCAGAATGCCACCGTGCGAGATCAGTCCTCTTGGTCTTCCCTTTCGGCTTTAGCCAAGCTTGTCCCCACTCCTCAGTGGAAGAGGTCCTTCTATTCCATGTCCGCAAGCTGTCCAGCGTTTGTGGCTGGTTGCTAGCATTTGGAGATCCTAAATAGAAATCGCTTCACCAATTCCAACAGCTTGGTGTTTGACCTCTATTCTCCATCCCCCTGCGTTTCTCACACCCATAGACCGCCCTGTCCGAGTAAATGAGTGAGCGCCGTCCACTGGACCAAACCGTTCCTTTTCACCGTCCAAACGGCGTCCGAGTTTCTCGGATGGCGCAGTCCGAGTCGATCGATCACGCCATAGGAGGTCCGTTTCGGGTCACAATAGAGAAAGAAGAAGATCAAGTGGTTCCACCGGAAAAAAGGGTCGCTGGGCTGCCAACTCTCCAAAATCCATGTGCCAGGAGGCCATAGGAGGTCATAGGAGGTCATAGGAGGTCATAGGAGGTCATAGGAGGCCAGGGGGGTTGATGGGAGGGGCCTCCGTGGCTGTGTGATCACAGGGTGCTTCGGACGAGAGACGTACACAAGACAAGATCCCCTTCCAAGACCCTTTTAACATGGGAAGGATCTGACTTTGTAGTCTCCAATCCTTCATTGGTAGAACATGGTAAAACCATGGTCGTTCGGTACGATAAAGACGATTAAAATCAATGGACATTAATGGTGGTTGGAAGCCACCTCCGAACAAAGCTCCCTCCCCATCACTCCGACGTACCTCCAAAATAAACAAAAAACAAGAACCTTTTGCAGGGCGCCCGGCCAGGCGCCACTCCTACTGCAAATGTCTAAGGCTTGATTCATGTGGCGAAAACCCGAAAAGAAGAAAACCTTTCGCATCATCCTAGGGATTCCTGGCCCACCCTTGATTGAATGATTCAACCTTTAAACAACCATATACCAGGACACCCAAAAAAACGGTGATTCGGGGTGTCCATTCACCCCGACCGTGGATCCTAGTAGTTTCACTTTCAGAAGATACGAGTAGAAACCACTATAGGACCCACTTGAAGAAGGCTTTACTAGGACCCCTAGGACCCACTTTGTTTGGGTTGAAAAAACACCGAGCTCTTTCCCACTTGACGCCTGGAAGGTGCTGCTGGCGCTCGCGGGGCCACCCGGGCCACCCGGGTCGATCCCTTGGGCACCACACCAGCGACTCGTCCAGCTTCACCTCGGCACCAGGTCGATCGTACGGACCGGATGCAGCTGGGCACCGGGTTGATGCGTCGACCCATTTCACTACCAACAGAGGTAGCCAGTGACCGTACATAGGACCCGAAAGCTCCTGGGGGTGCCCAGGTCCTGGGATAGTCTAGGGATGGGTCATGGCACCGCTCTGTTGGTAGATCTTCGACTTCACCCTGCAGGAGGTCGAACGGAAAACACCTGTGAACCATTCGCTCTGGCCGGGGTGTCATCCTTCGCTCTTGGGGGAGACCCCACTGCCCACTGCCGCCGGGCAGCTCTGGAGGTCTTCAGGTCGGACCAGAGCTCTAAGACTCGGGTGCCATGATCCATCCCTAGACTATCCCACTTGGGCACCTTTAGGACCTTTCGGGTCCTACGTACGGTCACTGGCTACCTCTGTTGGTATGTTGTGCTTCACCAAACCTTCCACCATCTTCCACCTGTTGGACCTGCAGGTACTTCTGCAGGTACGAAACCGCACGTAGGATGTAGGGTGAAGACACGGAACGTCTGCTCTTCGTTCGAACACATGGAACACATGGAACAGGTCATCATCTCAGATGTCCCTTCCCCTGAGGGTTGAAACGAAGAGTATTAAAACAAAAGAAATACCAAGGCAAAGCTCTGCAGGGCAAAGTGGGGCGAACTTTCTTGCTGAATATGTGTACTATATAACACCTGTTGGATCTTGCACTTATTTCAGGAACTTATCTCATTAATCCTTTCGGTCTGAGGTCATTTCATTGTTTACAATATTCCGTTGTGGTTGTGGCCCCTAGGTATTATAAGACAAAGATTGGAATCGCTTCGAACAATGGGTGGCATGCGAACCACGAATTCCATAAATTCTGTTGGGTGTGGACTCCTCCCCACAATTGTTCCAGGTGCGCAGGAGAGACATGTTTCCGGGGCTGTTGTGGCCGTGGTGCTGTTCCTTTCGCTGTGGAAGAGAGAACAAAACAGCGCAGCGAAGCAAACAGTTTTTAGCCCCCCATAAGCTGCAAGAGAGTGAGCCTTCGGCTAAGCTTCTGTATGAAAGGGGGCCTCGTTCGGGGTCCCCAAGTCTGCGACGGAGATCTGTAAACGAAGCAACTGAGATACGTTCAGCGTTGGGTTCTGCTCAATCAGGCTCCCAATACCTTCGAAGGTCGAGCGATCAATACACCTGTAATTTGCATGGGCCTTTCCACTCGTGCATCGCAACTTTGACAAAACAGAGAGAGAGAGAGAAAGAACAAAACATTGTATTCTTGGAAAAACGGGGGTCACTGTGGAAGCATGTCTTGCCACCCCACCAGGTGTGAGGATGTTGTGAAAGGTATGGAACTTGCCTTGAATTTTCGGCCATTGCGCATGGAAGCGGCCACAGTGTGCATGTGTGTGTGTGTGTGTTAGGTTCTCCTCACATTCAGCAAGGGTGATCGTGAGGCTAGTACAGCTGCCCTACCAAATGACCCCGCAACTAGCGAAAGAATGCATGAGATACATAGCAAGACCAAACAGCTTGGCCACAGCTGTTTCAAAGCACCAAGCTGTTCCTACTCTAGGCTGTTCCTACTCTAAAGCCTCCTTTTCCACTCGAGGAAAGGGGTGGAAGGCGGAACCTCCTGCATTCGAAGCTCATCCCTCTCAGCCAAAGCTGCAAGTTGCAGGGTCAAAGACTTGCTCTGAACCTGGAGCCCCACGGCACGAGCTTCGTCCAAGGAGTCCCCACGGAATCGACCACGTGCTGAACATCGCTCGTCGAGTCGTCACGGTCGGTGGCGTATCGGCGATCAGAACCACCGATGGGTTTTAGACGAACGAGTCCGAAGAACTCCTGGTGTTTGGGGGAAAATGAGTGAACATGATTCACATCCCCCTTGGCACGGTGACGCCACTTCCGTGGCGATGGTCTCGGTTGTTTGGTCCTCTTGCTTTGAAAACCCATCGGTGTAGGTAAAACTGCCTCTTAGACCTTGGAGAATGCCCTCCATGTCGGCCTGATAGATCGGTCTGGGGAGTCCATTTCGACACTATTCATGAGTGATGAATGATGAAAGGGGTATTGGCTATCTGGAATACCCCATTTCTCCTTCTTGCACCATGTGCCGTTCCTTGCGTCTATCCCCCACTTCATGTTGCTTTTTGTGGATGATGGAACTATACCCTCCCGAAAACTAACATGGACCCACCAAGCAGTGGTTTTCAGGGTCCATCTGAGACTTCCAGAGGGGTAGTAGGGACTGACAGACCGCTCACCTGCTCGTCGAAGGAATCGGAGACCCCTCATGAAAAAAGAAAAACTCATGAGCGGCTAGTGTCAACCATCTGGTTGCGTGACAAATGTGCACAAAACCTGTCGGTATGTCTGCGTGGTCAAAGGAATTCGTTTTCCGCCCATGTGCCAGTGTGGCGGTGTGCCTCGAAGAGGTCCCTGGTGTAGCTATCAGCATGGGATCTGATCCAATCTCGGATACGAATGCCCGTACATATACATAATTACCGAATCAAAGGCTACAACCAAAAAGCTGCCCGTCTTGCATGGCAGCTCCAACAATTTCGAGATTGGTTTAATGGATGGCGTGGATTCTGCACAATACTCATCTTTTGAGCAGAAAGGACACCTTTTGGGAATCCGATCATCACCTTTCTCACATTGTCAACTGTTTTGCAAAAAACAAACATTCTACCAGTAGAATGGAACTCTTCACACTGGCGATCATGTATTTTCCGTCTCTGCAATGGATATACTATCCGAAGCACTGGTCATGTTCAGTCTACTCACATCTGCAATGGTGGTCAGTGGATTTGCTCTGCATACTGAGGCCAACAAGCCTCCATCGGGCAGGACGAGTCGAAGTCTGGAGAGGCTCATACTCAGTTCCTGTGTAATGTGCCTGTGTGTCTCCCAAGCCAGATCACCCCCAAGTGCCTTCAACCGTAACGCTTCATGTCCAGCCAAATCTGAGCATGTCAGCATGATCGCATCATCTGCAAGAACAAAATCCAGTTGGAGAACAACGTCGTTGCCGAATGAGGCAGTGTAGCAAATCCCAGGCTCAAGAGGTAGAATGTCGCATTGTCCAAAAGCGTTGCCTCCGCAAGCCACAGCACTACCATCACTTCGGAGCAGCACTGTATGACTCCCCCCTGCAGAAACCTGGGTGTACGACATTCCTTCCTCCAGAGGTGGAATATCACATTGGCCATCACTGTTAGCTCCGCAAGCCACAGCATTTCCATCACTTAGAAGAAGCACCGTGTGTGACGTGCCTGCAGAAACCTGGGTGTATGACATCTCTTCCTTCAATGGTGGAAAATTGCATTGTCCATCAAGGTTCTCTCCGCAAGCCACAGCATTTCCATCACTTAGAAGAAGCACCGTATGATCTGGGCCTGCAGAAACCTGGGTGTATGACATTCCTTCTTTCAGCGGTGGAATACTGCATTGTCCCTGATCGTTGCCTCCGCAAGCCACAGCAGTACCATCACTTCGAAGAAGCACCGTATGCTCCCAGGCTGCTGAAACCTGGGTGTATGACATGCCTTCTTC